CAGGAGCTTTATAAATCCTTTCCCATGACTGTGAATCCTGTGGGGCTGTGCCTGGGAATCTTATAGTTGCCATACTGATACAGAGAGCTCCTCTCATTTCTTTAGCCCATTATAGCTACATACAACAACATATAGAGCCACAAAATGGATGGCATTTAAATTTGAGCAGGAATTACTTGAATTCTCTTAAATGCAGAACACTGTAAAATCAACATTTTAAATGATAAACTCAACAGCTGAACTTGATTTATCTTATTTTTCAAGGGCAAAATTTAAAAAAAAAAAACAACAAACATTTTTAGTGCTTCCTGTTAAAGTTCTGCTTGAGTTTTTCCACATATGCTATGCTGCTCTGGGAGAAATGTGCTCTGTGAAAGTGGCTGTGCTGCCTCCTGTGGTCCACCGCTCCCAAGTACTCCAGACTTGCACAGTGAGATGCACATATTTATTTGTTTGCACGCACAAATTGGATTTTCATCCTTCACACTTGAAAGCACATAGGAAAATATCAGAATATCTGTAGAGGAAAAAAATGTCTCATTATTCACCTTGTTCAGTACCTGTAAACTTTCCGGGAGTGCTGTGATCCAAGGAGAATGGCCAGGAAGATACTCGAGAGCCTTTGCTTTAGGTGCCCTGCTGTCCTCAGGGATCAGATTTTTTCAAATATACTGGGATTTAAAAAGCGTTGGGATGGAGCACCCAAGGCTGATGCAACAGCGGTGTCGGAGCCCCCGTGCTGCACAGCCCAGCCTGGCATGGGAGGGCTCGGGGTGCCAGACCCTGCCTGGCTCCCAGCCCTGAGCTCTGACCGCAGAGAAGAGGGGGATTAGCCTGACCCCCTGGGGAGCGTGGGACCTCACCCCCCCACCCACCCCGATGGACCTGGCAGCACGTCAGTGGCCAGCTGTACCCGCACTGGAACAAACCCGCCGCCCCCCCTGCCCTGTACGGGCACCGGGAGGTCGGGCACATAACTGCTCTCCGCTGAGCTTCCGGATTAGGGATGGCTCCTTCCATGCCCCAGCCATGTCAAACCAGAATGCAAAAGGCTTTTATGGCAAGCTGTGCAGGCTGTTGATATCAACAGTTTAAAAGTAACATTTGGTTGTGAAAATGGAGGGTTTTTCATTGCACATTAAGATGCAGCTGAACGAACGAAGCACCCCAGTAACCACCAGCAAGTATCTGAGCCAGCTTACCTGCCCGCCACTGAAGGGCAGTTGGAGTGTGCGTCGCGTTGGGAAACATCTGCCATCCGGTTCATTTCGTTTGGGAGAACGTGTCTGTGAGAGACAGGCACGCAAAGTGAATAATTCCTGCATGTTCCAGCTCATCTTTAGTTCTTTGGCACCAATAAATGCACCGACATTTCCAGAAGTGACTAATGATTTTGGATCACTAGTGGGATGAAGACCAGGTGCTGTAGGGACCTTGCTTTCTGTAGAGATCAAAACTGGGTCTGTGTCTTTAAAAACACCAGTAAATGCAGATTTATTTTCCTAGGGTGCTCCTCCCACCAGTAAGCTCCAGTAACTGCATTTAACAAGAGGTGAGCACATTCAGACAGTAACACCATCCAAGCCAGAGGACCACTAGCAACAGCCACAGCAACTGATCTCTGGAAATGCTCCTGAACATTGACCAGACTTGTCCCATGGAGCCAAAATTGGCCTGAGACCAACTTCCCAGGATGGAGCAGGTGATGGGACAATCTTCACCATCTGAATCCATCTCTCCACTGCTCCCTTCTACGATGTGGCAGTGAGAGGGAAATATATATACCCCCTCAAAAGCCCTCTGAGCCATTTTGAATATGCAGCCATTTTTCCATATCATCTCATCAGGGAAAAAAAGGTACACATCAAGCCAAAATATTACTTCAGAGAGAAAAGACAAATTAAAAACACAAGGCATCACTCAAATTCAAAGCATTTTTGATTCAAAATTAAAATTAATCTTAATTGATGGTTTGATCAAATGTGGTTTGGGGTTTTTTTCCTAGCTGTTTGTCATCACTTGTAAGCAGAAAAGCTGTAGCTGCTTGTAGCTCTGCTGCTATTTTATAAATACGCCCAGGTCATAGAATCACAGAAGGGTTTGGGTTGGAAGGGACCTCACAGACCATCCAGTTCCAACCCCCCTGCCATGGGCAGGGACACCTTCCACTACACCAGGTTGCTCAAAGCCCCATCCAACCTGGCCTGGAACATTTCCAGGGATGGGGCATCCACAGCTTCTCTGGGCAACCTGGTCCAGTGCCTCAGCACCCTCAGAGGGAAGAATTTCTGCCTTAGATCCCATCAAAATCTCTCTTTCAGTTTAAATCTGCTGCCCTTTGTCCTATCAAGGTCCTGGCTAAGCCAGTCGCCCTGGGCAGGCACTTGCTGTATTTGGGGTCATACAAGCTTCGCCAGTACTAAAGTGAGCAGGACATGGCTGGAGCCTCATCCCACATTCATCCACACCGTTAACCCATTCCTTGCCTCCAGGGCCATCCCTGGCTGCTGCCAGCTAGCCCTGCCCCAGGCAGTGCCCAGGTGTGGATGAGGGGGTAGCACCACCACTGGGCTGGGGAGTAGAGCCATCCTGGATAGGAAAGGAAGAAAGGATAGACGTAGATGTGGCCAAGAAGCACCAGGCGTCTCCAGGACAAAGAACTATACTTATCCCTCTTTTAATTGTAGTCTGGACAAAACCACAGAGTGCAGCAGGGACTGCAGCGTGGCCCCACATGAATGAGGGTAACAGGAGAGTTTTCCAGGGCAGAGGAGATGCACAGCTCAGAGAGGACTTGAGATGGGAGGAGCTGGCAATGGGAAAAAAACGGAGGTGGTAGGAATGGCCTTCCTTCTCCTTCTCTTTCCTATTCTTCCTTTCTCCCTCTCTCTCTTTCTTTGTATCTGTCTCTCTCCATCTCCCTTTCCCTCCCCTTCCCATCCTTCTCCTCTCCCTCTCCTCTAAGAGATGTCTCTGATGTGTCTCACTGCTCTTCCCGTGCCTCATAGGAAATAAATCCATTGGCAAGTACTGTAAGTGATCCCATGGTACAAAGCTGAGAGCTCAGGGCATCACAGAATAGGAATTAGCAGCTTTAAGAGGTTCATCTATCTCTTTTTTCTCTCACACAGATGTTAAACCACAATTAAGTTTCCCATTCCCAGAGGCAGCCAGAAAGGTTGTTGAACATACGTTCCTAAAAGAGAGTACCTTATATAGAGATTCCCAAATCTTGAGCGTCTGCTTGGTACCCTCCAGCTACACAGGTTGGGAAGCAAACGAGGAGGCAGATGAGGCTCTGGTGAACCAGGTGATGGAGATGCACCAAACGCACTTGCAAGCCATGGTCTCCACCTGTGCTAAGAAATCTCCCACACGTTTCCTCCCTGGCTGTTCCCTTGGAACACTTGCTTGCTGTGGCACAGGGTCCTTGGGCTTTTGCTGTTTTGGAGAATGGCTGTAGCCAGGAAGCACTGATGTCCAAGGAGAAACTCTGGAAGTTTTCAGAGTAGGAAGCAGTGCTGTGCAAGGATCCTGCAAGGTAAACACTTCTCCTGGAAAGCTCTTGTCTAGGCTTTTCTGCTGAAGGTTGTGTTTGTTCCCTTATGTTGATCTTTTCTCTGATAATAGCTGCCTGCAAGCACCAGGTTAGACCTTACATGTTTTGAGCAAAGTGTGCTCCAGTGCAGTGCTATCTCAACGCAAACGGGACCTCCACTGCAAGACCTGCTGTGCCAACCCTCAGGCAGAGGTCCTGGAGGTGGTCTGCTGAGCAGTATTGCATCCTGTGCAAGGCCCCACTGGGATCCTCAGCAAAATAACTAGCATGACATGAAACAAACAGTGGCCTGGGAATGTTCCCCTCGGGAATCTTCCCTTCTCCCTTTCCATTTTTCTATGGAGATTTTCCCTCGTTATTCTTCTATTCCAGGTACAGTTATGTGTAGAGCAGAATAGAAAAAGACACTGGTTCTGGGCTAGCATGAGGTGTGCACTGCTTAGCAGCAGGTAGAAACAGTCCAGTTATGCTGTGCAATCCTGTCCCAATACCTTCTATTGCTTCACTCTGCCAAGGTGAACACTGACCATTTTTTCCTACTTTCCACCGTAGTCCAAACTGGCCAAAATATGATCTAAGACCAACAAAATCACAACTCCACAATTTGGAGGCGTGAAAGATTTTGAGTCATTTTATCCTGTCCATGCGAGGAAGCAAGCCAGGAGGATCATGAAACCTTTCTGCATGCCTGGCTGAGACCCATCCTACAGCAGAGCAGTAAGATGCTGGGAGACGCTGTCACCTCCCATCTGTGGACTGACCCTGGTGATCTCCTCCTCCCATCTCTCTGGGGCAGACAGTCAGTACCTGGCAGGTATCGGCTGGAAGATTGCAGTACATGGTCCATGGTGTCAGAAAGTGTAGCCATTCATATTATATTTTTGAAACCCCTTTTTTCAGTGAGAGAGCTAGGCACACCAGACCCCCAAGCATCATCCTGATCCATATCTAATTCATACAATCCTATGCTCATCTACAGCAAATCCTGAAGGTTTTAAGCAACTCCAACCTAATATCGTTGCATCATAAACAGAAAAAAATGGCTTCATCAAGTCTTTTGACCTTTTACAACGAATAGATGTCTTTTATTGAAGATACTGCTCACATACATTACATTCAGTACAAAACAATGTCTAGAATGTTAGTCTTGGCTAGACAGTAAGGCTCAATGACATCAAAAAGAGATGGAAAAGCAGCATTGTTTCCATCACTGTAGATGTGTATGACACTTTAGAAAGACAGATGAAGGCTGAGTCATTTTTTAGGAGGACCGGGAGTGCTGCAGGCCCACTTAAGAGGACATAGTCTTCAGAAGATGCTCTGTGCTCAGCCTCTGGACCTGAGCTCCATCTTGTGGGATGTTTGCAGCTGAACAAGTAATGACT